CATCTCCAGCTTAATTTTGTCTGGCTCAAAGAGAAGGTATCAAGAAATGAAAACACAACAGACCTTTAGAAGTCTTTAGAAGCAGTAAGAGAGACACAATTCTATGAAGCGAGGATGGTGTCCCTCTCCTTTACCACTGTGTATAACTCTCATTGTCTCTACTTCATTCTGCCTCCTTTCCTTAAGTGGCCATCAACAAGGCACTAGGATATATATTATTTACTAAATGTATTGAATTATGTTCCCAATTTTAATTTAAATGGCAGACCAACTGAACTTTTTTTTTTTTTTTCTGAAACAAACTTTTTGCTGCTTTTTGAGGGGGAGAAGTAGGGATGGGGGGAAGTAGACCTACAGTCCTTTAAATTTCTTTCAGAGATTCTCCACTCATTAACTCAGTTTCTCCACTCAGTGACTTGGTTAACTGAAATTCCATCTTGGCAATCATAAATATTGCATTTAAAAAAAAATCAAACAATAAACATTGTACTTTAAGGATCTACACAAAAAATACAATCAAGTTCATAAGACATAAGTGTAAGTAAACAAGAAATAAATATTTCATGGAGAAAGTAAATAAAAATCTATCCAAATAATTATTTCAACAACAACAAAAAAAGAAATAGAAATGCACTCAAAAGAAAAGTGTTAACATTTATCATGTTTTATACACTGAAAATAAAAATTTTCCACTCCTATGGCCAGTCTTCAAGCAGATTTTATCACAAAATTATAGTTTCCATTTTACAATCTCTCTTTAGTAGTTACTATGAACTATAAATTAACCAAACACTTAATTTTCCCAGAAATTAAATATCTTCCTAAAAATGCTATATAATCCCCATTACATAATATCACAGTAATCTTTGCTTTACCACACAAAAAAACTATGATTAATAATTATAACTTTTTCTTTATTTGTCATCTTTCTACAGAAACGATCAGTAGTTAGCCTTACCAGGAAATTATACACATTATGAATACAAGTTTTAATAGACTACTGATTAGACTGTCATGTTGCAAGTATTTCTAGAACATGATATCACAAATTAAGTCATTAATTCCAAAACAATGGTTTATTAACAAAAAAGTACAAAGAAGCACAAATGGATATCCTATTTCCCATTGTAGTCCATCTATCTATCTCCCTATCAGTCCATGAGATGGCTTTTTAGAGCTGTAAGAATGGGTAAAATACTTCTCCTGTGTCTAATGGCCCCTAATAACTATCCAAATCCAAATAACTGTGTATTTAAGTTATACAGACCAATTTTTAAACAATGTTTAAATCTACTGAGATAAAATCATCTCCCCTTGCAATACACCACCTACCTAAACTGAACATCAGCGCCAACATCCACAAATCATATATCATGTCACTAGTATGTTTGTCTTGAAATAAGTTTATAAATGAAAACTTAGGTGTATCAAAAATGATATTCATAAGGATGTACTAAAAACATTCAAGTCAAAACATCTTGTTAACTGAACTAAAGTGAAGCACATGGAAACATTCAATTTATTATTGTGCTTTTTGCATTGATTTTAAATCAAAGCTACTCACACATCAAATCTTATTGCTATTACTTCAGTTTCTTCAAGAAATGATTCATTTTTCAAGTTATTTCAACAAATGTAAGGTTGTTCCATACTCCTCTTTCTACAGGCCTCAAGTACTTCTCTGAATCATGGTAAACTCTAATACTTTGTGATTTCTCTCACAGTGCTCCTTAAAATAATAACACAGATGGGGAGATTCAGCAAATAATAACCAATTTGCTCTTTCTGCTATGGCTCCTCAAGACAGAACATGTGGTTTTACTCTCTGATGGTCCTGAAAGCCTTGTGTAGAATTTATTAGGTTATACGTGTTTCTGAGTGGTAAGTTCCAGCTTTTTGGTTTGTGGAGGGAGCCAGGTCAGAGCTTAGTTACCACTATACTCCTCACCTAGAAGTATTCTTATCAAGAACATGAGTTCAGTGTTAAACTAGGCTTTAGTAACAAAAGGGTGCTATAGCAGTGCATACATTTTTTGGGGAGCTGGAAAATTCAGATGACCACTCACTAAACATAAAATCATCATTCCACAAAGATTTTATTGACATTAAACTTGCACAGTAGCAAAAAAAAAAAAAAAATCAAAACATAAAACTAAGCCACATATCAAAGAACAATGTACAATAGAGATTTGAATTTCTCAATAGCATTAGAAGGTATTTCCATAAATAACATTTACAATTCTAATGTTAGGACTTTCAAAGTGTCTGAAGCTTCACAGTGCTAGAATTGATTTTTATCAGAACACATGCAAAAAAAGAAACAATGGTTTCTCAGGTTCATTACAAAGGACAAACTGCAATTAAAACTCAGCACAAAACCATTCCAAGTGATTGGGGAAATCCGGGTGAACTTCAGGTGGATGTGGAGACAGACTAAGGTGACAGGAAGCGTCTAGCAAAAACTCCTTTAGGCAACTGCTGTGTAATTAGACAGGCCCAGTGAGCCTCGGGGCATATGCTGGCTGTTCCTCCCTGAGAAAAAGGCAGTGGCCTGAATCCTTTTTAAATGACTTGGCTCAGTGCTGTGGGGGACTGGCTGGGCAGCTGCAGGCTGTGTGTCTGTCAGCCCAACCTTTACATCTGTCATATTCTCCACATGGGGGAAGGACGTACTCTGCCCAGGTCCCCGCCTTCTTCAGAGGCAGCAGCTCCTACAGGGCTGAAGGCTGGCACAAGTTGATGGATTTGATTTCCCCTCCTCCCTGTGGTAGAGCTGCAGAGTGGATTGGTACAGCTTCGTTGGAAACCTCTGGAGGTCATCTCGGCTGTTCCTGAGAAATAAAAAGCGTGTCATTTCAAACGCTGCTGCAGACCCTACTGGGTTTTTAAAATTTTGTCAGTGTTTCATTGTGGTCTCTAGCCTGCCAACAGCCATCTCCCTAGACAGCCGCAGTGAGGACGAGCGTCCTGGCAAAGATGCAGTTGGCCCTGGGCACTCCCCAGAGCCACGAACCCCAGACCTATTTGTATCACCCGGGCTCCTTCCGGGTGGAAACGGCTGTGAAAATGCACCTCAGACTCACTTATTTCTGCCACATCTGAGTCAGGGCCTGAGAGAGATTTTTCCCTCTGAACTTAGAGAATATCACAGTGGTTTGTGTTGGCAGAAAATGCACTCCAGCCTCTGTACTCCCCTAAGCTGCTTATTTTTTATATTTGTGCCAGTCTGTAAATGGATAATAACTGTTGCTTAGAAATTGGCTTTGTGGAGAAACTGGAAAATAATGGTTTTATCTTCAACTCCTTTGCACGCCAGAGGGTGATGTGTACCTCAGCTTCTGCCAGCCTATGCTGTGGGCAGGGCTGAGCTGGAGCTGCCCCTCTCAACCTGCCTGCCACAGCTTTTCCTTAAAGGCCATTCTTAAAACCAGACCCTCATGGCTGCCAGCACCTGAAAGCTTCATCAATATCTATTAATAAAGCCGTAGGCCCTCGTCTAACGGCAACTGCCTAGGCTTTCTTTGAGATATGTGTCCATTATTCAGGTTCTTTAAGTCAGAGTGGAGTCTGGGAAGGGTTGCGAATGGAGGGTTCGGGGCTGTAGATGAGGTTCCAATGGAAAGTAGAGACGGCCGTGCCCACTGCCCAGAAGAGACCAGCAAGCCAAATTGGAGCCCCCATTGCAGGCTGCCGTCGTGTGGATGGAATAACTCACGATTGCCAGTAAAAGTCTAATGTGGTTTTATCTATTTTTTTTTTTTTTTTTTTTTTTTTGGTGGGGGGAGACAAGGCCCCTTGCCCTCCCAGGCTGGAGTGCAGTGGCATGACCATAGCTCACTGCAACCTCAAATTCTTGGGTTCAAGCAAACCTCCCACTTCAGCCTCCCAAGAAGCTGGGACTACAGGCGCAGGCCATCAAACCTGGCTAATTGAAAACAATTTTTTTATAGAGATGGGATCTCACTTTGTTGCCCAGACTGATCTCAAATTCCTGGGCTCAAGTGATCATCCTGCTTCAGCATCCAAACTGTTGATATTACAGGCATGAGCCACTGCACCTGGCCTAGCTGCCATTTTTTTAAATGCAGAAATGTAGATTTTGTCGAGGTGAAATAACTCGTCCAAGACAATAGAACAAGTAAGTTTTAGGGTTGGGATTTGAATCCAGGCAATCTGGCCCCAGAGCTGGGCCCTCACTGCTGAAGGACACTGCCAGCTTGGGGGTGTGGCTGTGCCCGGCTACCTTTAAAGCACCCCGTTCCACTTTCAGACAGCTTTGTCCAAAAGGCTGCCATATGGAGCTGACACCTCCCCAAGGCTTCCGTAGATCCTCACTGGACATTTTAACCTTTTATTTTGAAATGAAAGTTCGCAGGGAGTTGTAAGGCTAGTACAGGGGTCCCGCATACCATTCCCCTCCTTTTCCCCATTGTAAGGACTACACCGTGTTCACTTTCAACACCCAAGGTCTGTGTTGAGAGGATGAGTTGTGCAGCCCAGCTTGCCCCAAGCCCGTCTTGCCACCATGAAGCATTTCCTGACTCAGATGAATCTACCTCAACAAAGCCAAGGACCAACTAAGCTGCAGATTTTCTCTCCACTGGGCTTGGCCTACATTATTTGCACCTGTTTTCAGCTGGATGGGACCAAATTTCCACATTATCCCCAAAGGGGTGACATCTATTTGTTCACGCAGGTATTTGTGCGTGTACCTGCTGTGTGCCAGGTGCCAGGTCCTGGAATCGAAGCCGGAACAACTGCAGTGAGCTCTCAGGGGTTTTGTTTTCTGAATGGTGGGAAGACAGGTCAGCAGATAGCCAGGTGCGTCTGCACATGTGTGGCTGGCGTGTGCAGGAGTGCCGAGAAGACAGTGAGCCCCACCCTGGATGCCACAGGAAAGGGCATTCCAGCACAGCTGTTGGTCCTGGCACATGTAGCAGGCTGCGAACGGGACCAGGAAGGGAACAGGAAGATGCACAGGCCGGAGGGGACAGAGGCGCATGTCATGGGCACTGCAGGTGTGCGCTGCGGTGGGACGCACAGGCTGGTTCCGGGGAGATGTCAGCAAGGCCCTGCAGCCTAGGGCACTGCCTGTTCCACATTACCCAGTGAGTCAGAGTCTCCCAGTCACTCAAAGCCAGTGCAGGTCCCAGCTTTGTCCGCGGAGGAACTTTCACTGTAGAAAACACGAACTCATTTCCCTTTGAGGAAGTTACTTCTCCAGGATGTCATTTCCAGCCACCACCCAGGATGCGGAGAAGGTGCTGCAGTGCCCAAAGCACGGCTGCCCGAGAAGCTTGTCCCTTAGAAACCCCATGTGGGCTGGGAGGCGCCTGCCTGCCTCCCTGAGAGCGGAACCCTGTCCCTGTCCGGCTGCCAGACTGGCTAGGCAGGTGCTGGGGAAGTCTGGGTGGCCGTGCTGAGCCCCTCATAGACCTTGGAGTTGTGCTTGGGGATGAGACCTCCCAGCTCTTCGGCTGCTTCCCAGTCATGGCCACATCTCACAAACGTTACCAGTGTCCATGAGAAATGAAAAAGTGCGTGATTCCAACTTACCACCTGACCCACATAAGAGGCCTTAGAATGCTGGGCTTTGACTCGAAGAGCGGCTTTGAGTCTACTAAGGGGATTCGCTTCCTAATGTCCTGAGTGAATGAACTGACCTGTTGGACAGGGAAACTTAGGTTCATTTTCTGTGGGGGGACATTTGCCAAATGCAGTGAAATCAGTTGACGCTGAGCTACTCTGACAGTGACTCAGCCTCGGCTCCAGCTGCTTCCCCAGCCCTGTGGTGGAGGTGGCAGATGATGACATCATCCTGGAGCAGAGGGCTCTGCCCACTGGCATCACAACGGCCAGACCTGCTGGTCCTCCAGCTGCTGGCTCCAGGTAGTTACATATGAGTTTAAAAGAAGAGAACCAGGGCTGGGTGCAATGGCTTATGCTTGTAATCCCAACAGTTTAGGAGGCCGAGGTGGGTGATCATTTGAGATCAGGAGTTCAAGACCAGCCTGGCCAACATGGTGAAACTCTGCCTCTACTAAAAATACAAAAAAAAAAAAAAAAGCCGGGAGTGGTGGTGGGTGCCTGTAGTCCCAGCTATTTTGAAGGCTGAGGCAGAAGAATTGCTTGAACGTGGGAGGCAGAGGTTACAATGAGCTGGTATCAGCCACTACACTCCAGCCTGGGCAAGAGAGCGAGACTCTGTCTTAAAATAAACAAACAAATAAATAAATAAAAAGAGAGGCAGGGTGTGGTGGCTCACACCTGTAATCCCAGCACTTTGGGAAGCCAAGTTGGGAGGATTGCTTGAGGCCAGGAGTTTGAGACCAGCCTGCGTAACAAAGCAAGACCCTGTGTCTACCAAAATAGTAATTTAAAAAATTATCCCAGCATGGTGTGATATGCCTGTGGTCCCAGCTCCTCTGGAGGCTGAGGTGGGAGAATCGCTCATACCCAGGAGGTTGAGGCTGCAGTGAGCCATGATCACACCACTGCACCACCCTAGCCTGGGCAACAGAGCAAGATTTTGTCTCTGTAAAAAAAGACAAAAAAGGAGGCTTGGATGCAGCACTGTTTTTTTGTCACTTATAACTGGAATTTTGTCTATCAAAAGCCTATTGTGCCCGACTGCAGCGGTAGTGGTCTGACGCTGGCTTTGAGGAGGGCCTGACAGCCTAGGGACAGGCTTGGCATTCCAAGTTGAGGAAAGAAAGATGAATAGTGAAAAATAATGGGTTGCAGTGCCTTTTCATCCTGGGCCAAGGTATAATTTGGGTCCATTTCAAGGGAAATATACTAGCAGAATTCATCAGAGTAGCCCCTCGAAGACTGGTGCCTAATGCCTAGGGGACAATTTAATCAGTGGTTCCAGCTTCACATCTAGGGTTGGAAACACTGAACCCAGGCTTTCTCATGCGGATGGGGCATAGATGCTAACGTGGCTGTCTCGCAGCCCTGCAGCGTGAGTGAAACAGACGTCTATTCTACAGAGACACGGCTCTGTGGTGCTGAAACCTCCTTCTAGACAACAGTGGCATTAAGGTGTTTTTTTTCTCCTTTTTCTTTTTTTTGAGATGGAGTCTTGCTCTTTCACCCAGGCTGGAGTGCAGTGGTGTGATCTTTGCTCACTGCAACCTCCACCTCTGAGGTTCAAGTGATTCTCCTGCCTCAGCCTCCTGAGTAGCTGGGATTACAGGCATGAGCCACCACACCTGGCTAATTTTTGTATTGTTAGTAGAGACAGGGTTTCACCATGTTGGCCAGGCTGGTCTTGAACTCCTGACCTCAAGTGTTCTGCCTGCCTTGGCCTCCCAAAGCGCTGAGATTATAGGCGTGAGCCACCCAACCTGGCTTTTTTTTGCTTTCTTTTTTATAAGACAGGGTCTCACTCTGCTGATCACAGACACAGCCTCAACCACCTGCCTGGGCTCAATCGATCCTCTCATCTTAGCCTCCCAAGTAGCTGAGACCACAGGTACGAGCCACCACATCTGGCCCTACTTAAGCTTTATGTAGGTGCAGTAACAGATCTGAAACCAGCTCTCAGCTCAAGAGAAGGGGAAGCCAGGTGCAATGGCTCACGCCTATAATCCTAGCATTTTGGGAAGCCAAGGCAAGAGGACCACTTGAACCCAGGAATTTGAGACCACCCTGGGCAACATAGGGAGACCGCCGCCCCCCCGTCTCTAAAAAGAAATAGAAAAACAGGCCAGGCTTGATAGCTCAAGCCTGTAATTCCAGCACTTTGGGAAGCCAAGGCAGGAGGATCACTTGAACCCTGGAGTTCGAGACCAGCCTGGGCAACAAAAGGAGACTGTGTCTCTAAATAAATAAATAGAGAAGGGAAGTGCAGGTGGGGCACGCAGCCCAAACTGGGCTCCTCTGTTCATCCCGCACAGTCAGTTCGTACCTTGCACATGCACAAAGAAGGTGTCGACCCAACCAAAGCAATACTGATTCTTGTTATATAGCTTTATTGTGGGGTCAGTGTTGGAGTACCACGAGTTTTCATTAGCCTACGTTCTTTCCCCAGCTGTAGTCAGTTTAGGGAGGGAAAGAGGCCCTACCCCCATCCCTATTCCTCCTGCCTTCATATTGGCAGCTACTCTCTGAGTACCTGTTGAGTTCTTTCACATTCCAGGTCTAACATGCTCTCCCACACCCCTAGAGAGCAGGGCTGCTGGATGCCACACTGCTCCCAGAGAGGGGCTGTGGTCAGGGAAGCCCCAGCTCCAAGGGGGGCCAGAAAACCCCAGAGCCATCCACTGCAGCAGCAGTCTTTGGTGCTGCAGGTGAGGACAGCTACAAAATACCTGAGCCATCATTCTGTCACTCGGTCTGAACTCCATTTGAAATATTGTTTCCATAACTGTTAGGATGGTTTTTCCTTCCTGACTATAATCCTCAAACCAACAAGAGCCCAGCAGAGGAAATCGTGGCCAAAACACCCCCAGAGGAGAGCCTTGGCTTGACCTCAAAGGGCCACCATCGGGGAGGATGTCCTCAAACCTCTGAACCCCTCTCTGCAGGCTCTGCCCAGCCCTGTGTGGCGACCCAAAGGAAGCCTCTCCTTCGTTTAAGATTTAGCCCCAGACGTCCCGCGATGGCTGCCGCCTGTCCCTTCCACCTGCATGGCTGCCCACGGGGGGTATTGCTCATCTGGCTACTCTGGATGAGAGGCTTCCCGCCGGGTTGGGTGGGGGGGGCCTCTCTGCGGCTCCTCTGCCTCCTACCCCCACTGGCACCCAACGCCTGTCCTAGAAGGTTGTTTCTGCCTGTTTGCTCCGTGAGTGGCTGGAGAGGCAGAGGCCGGCCTTGCTGGAGGGAGCGTTCGTAATTAGGAGCGAATCCAAAGCAGGGTCTTTTCCTTCCGCAGCACCGGGCCCAGCAGCGGGGCTCACCCACAGCCCTTTACCGATGCCTTCTCTTTGGTCCTCAGGACTGATACAGACCAGGACCCAGGGCCAGCCCGGGCCAGGCTCCTATGCTTCCAGCAGCGCGGGGTCCTGCTGCCCCCCGCTGGGGTCGGCCTCTGGCGGACGCTTCCTCCTCCTCCCCAGCCCTGCATAGCAGGGCCAGGCAGGTGCTTCCCGTTTGGCTGCTGAAGAGCCGAGAGTTCACAGAGAGATTGAAGAACGAGCCCAGGGACCGGGCCAGCCCGTGGGGGCGCCCTGGGATTGGAGCCCAGGTCCCGGGTTCGCCGCGCGGCTCCCGACTTCCTCTCCTTTCGCCCAGAGGAGAGTTCGGCCACTGCAGAGACGTGAGGTGGATCTTACCTCCCGGGGGCCCGCGAGGCCAGCGCGCGGGCGGGAGCCGGGACGGGCCCAGAAGAGCCTCGGGGGAAACGCCTGCCCCCCGCCCCCGGCTCCCGCGCCCCCCTCACCGGCTCCCGCGCCCCTCGCCCCTGGCTCCCGCGCCCCCCCACCGGCTCCCGCACCTTCCCCCCGGCCGCCGCCCGCTCCCCGGCCGG